AAAAGGCAACCCAATTTAAAGTTCTCACCTGATTCGGTACGTGAAGAAATAGTGAGGTGGGTGTACAGAGCTGAGTTCTGGCAGAAATGATGTGGAAACAGAAACTGTAATATCCCCAGTTGTTGCTACACACTCTGGGTCATGAACATATCTAGGAAATTTAAGAAATTAAATATTTTAAAGTCAGGTAATATCAATTCTATAAGACTCAAGGTTTAAAGATACAATGCAAAATAGTTTACGCCTTGTAAGATCAAAAATATAAATCATATTTGAGTACAGTCCTATTAAATTTAGAAGAAAATTAGAAACACAGAAAACCTTGATTCAGTAATGACAATCAAGGATGAATGAAAGTGGTTCAAATAATGTATCAGTAGTTAGTTTTAAAAAAGGGCTTATCTCAGTTTTCAGAGCGAAGAAAAATTTAAGGTCATCTGAAAACCCAGCTACATCTGCTAAATAGTGGTTCTAATAATAAAAAGAAGTAAAAAGATGTAAATATATTGAGTTAGACGTCCTGCCTTTAACCAGAAGCCCCTAATGTATAGTTACTCAATTATTTCTGCTACAAAGGCTACTTTGACTAACATCGCCTCTAATACTAATTATAAGACCTGAATGCTCCATTGAGAGATAATATATGATACTTGGCAGGTCATAGTTCCTGACTTCCTATTCATACTAATTCTATTAATTACCAACAGCCTCTCGTTTTTTTCAAAGAGAAACTACACAGCTAGTAACAAGCCATAGCTTCTAAATTAAAAAATGAGTTTTTTCTCTTCATTGTTGAAGGTAAGAAAAGTGCTCATTAGGTGTTTGAATGTTTTACTTTTGCAATGAGAATAAAAGAGTGAGATTTAAGATAATGAGAGGTTCTGTTATTAACCTTGGGAACTTCATCTCATGATCTGTGATGGATGGTTTTTTCTGATTTACAATCATTTCGATCCAAAAAGCCCCAAATGAAATACCTGAAAATTTGGTCTCTGATGATGGGGAAGCCACCTGAAACAACATTTCTGACATAAGAGGTAAACCAGTCGGTAAAAGTAGCACCTACAAACAGGAAGTGGGAAAAAGAACACAGAGGTTTTTAAATAAAATCTACATAGGCAATAAAGAAACAATTATTTCTTTAAGCTTAAGATGTAACACCAATGTGAGTTCGAGACCGGCCTGGGCTACAAAGTGAGCTCAAGACCAGCCTGAACTGCACAGTGAGACCCTGTCTCAAAAAGACAAAAAAAAAAAAGAAAGAAAGAAAGAAAGAAAGAAAAAAGATGTAACACCAAAACTGGAAACATTCATAGACGGAATTCTACGAGTCCTCTATCAGGTCAATTTCTTCTCACAATCCCACTCACTTTACTGGCTCGTAAGTATGCCTCTTCCCAACCTTTGCTAGGGTCTCCTTCAGCTACCTTCAACCTTTTTTTCTTAAACACTTATAACCACTGGTTGTGGTAAATAATGAAAAACTTCCTGTCCATAACTTCTAAAACAAACAAAACAAAGGAGATTTAGCTATGGCTAGGAGGAAACCACAAAAGACAATGTCAGCATCTATTCTTCGATGATCAGGGTACACCGTGGCCCAGGGACATGCTGACTTACACACAAAATTCTGGCAGAAGCCAAGCTGAGTCTGGATTATCTACCAGGGGCAGGGCACGTGGACTTTTGTGCACCAGGCCAATCCCAAAGTGTTGTAGAGTGGCCCTGATCCTCTCAGTGACCAGCTCAAAGCAGAAAAGACTCAAACAGTGCAACGCAGGCCACACCTCACTGGGGCACTGACTGAGGCAATGGCAGCTACGGAGCTGATAACGTTTCTACCTTTCGGTAGCACAGCACAGCGTTACCAGACCGACCCGTGTGTTAACACAGCTCCAGGCCTCGCACATGTTAGTCTCTTAATTAGTGTTCAATAAACTTTTTTGTAGTCTGCTTTCAATTAACCCAATTCTGCACTCTGCCACACTAAATGTCAGATGCTAATTTCATGGTATTGTTAACTATGTTGTTGAAGGAATCATGGAAGATACAATTTGTTTTGTATCTGTGAGTACTAAGCTGTAATATTTTCAAAGCATCAACTGAGAGAAGGTAAACTGTAACAGCTGGTTCTTTCCTCAGTGTTCATTAATGGCCTATTCTGAGTCATTATTTGTTAAATGCACTCAAAGAGCACCCATCATTTAAACCATTTTGTGTTAGATACTAGGGAGCTATCTGAATAATATCAAAATTCACAGATCACTCTGGGTTTAATCCAGAGCCACAAAAATAATCTTTTTAAATGTTTCTTGAATGTAACTTTTTTCTTTTTCTGATTTTTTCACATATTATATTTTCAATATATTTTTATTCCATTTTATGTTTCACAACTAGTAATTTCTTTTTTTGTTGTTTTTTGAGACAGGGTTTCACTATGTAGTTCAGGCTGACTTTGAGCTCACAATAATCCTCCTGCCTCAATCTCTCAAGTGCTGGGATGACAGGTGTATACTAAAGAATTTTTAAAAATCATTTTGTATACTTCATCAAATATTATATATATGAAATAAATGACATGCATATACAGAAACTGGCATGATACATTTAAGTGTGTCTTAATTTAGCATAAATGTACCCAACTATGTTCTTTAAGGTGAGGACACAATAGGTAGCATTCACTGCTAAACTCATCTGCCGACAGATTTCAGTTTTCTTAAATATTTATTAATAGTGCCCTGAACACCAGGAGATGTTGCCTTGTGTGTCATCAAACCTCCTATGAAACTGAAACTTAGCTGAATCAAGATGCAATTTATATCTAAGGTGTTTTGCCAGTGAGCCCATATTCAGGAGTTTCTTAGACAGTGCTGGTGCTTAGCAAGGTAAGGAGGCTGAGTTCTCATCCTTCCCCCAGGGCATGCACTCCACACCTCGTCTACTCTCAGTGCATCTCACACCTCCTGCTCTGCTGTGCTCTCTAGAATTCCTAGCTTCTAGCACAGCATTGTCAGGCCTTGGCACTCTGAGGTAATGGTGACTTCTTCCTCACTGTGGCAGACAAGCACCAGGCTAACTCTGAGACACAGAGCCTAACGGCAGCTTCCCTAATTGCTGGGGCGGCCTTCAGTCCATAAGCTTGATAGCACTGCTGGGCTTAAGCTGCAATGGGCGTCTCTCAAAGTGTTATGCAAAGATGCCAAGGAGTGCAAGGAGCATGGGTTTCTAAACTTAGAAACCAGAGAACACAAGAGTCAATGGGTTGAGAGCAAGGGCCTAAACGTAAAAGCTTTCATAACATTAGGCAGGAGTAAGATCTTCTTGATATTGCAAAGTATACCACAAACCTGGACTGTGTCAGAGTACAGAACAGATGAATATTCTCTGTTCAAGGTTATAATCAGAAGATGTAACAGCTAGCAAGGTCTTCTTTTTTTTTTTTGTACTGCTGGGGACTGAACCCAGGGCCTGGTGCATGCTAAGCACGTGTTTCTACCATTGAGCCACATCCCTCGCCCTCTCTTTACTATTAATACATGGAAATGTTTAACATGTGTCAGCAATGCCTTCAAAAAGCAGAACCGCCATGAAGCTTCCAATGGGGCCAAATCTAAGCAACATTAGATTGGATAAAGAGCAAATGCACTCGAATACTAACGGGTTCTCAAAACCTGTAAGAAATATCCTTTTATGACCAAGGAAAATGGATTGTGCCAAGCACTTTATGAAGCACATGATTTACAGTGGTCTCAAAGACTGCCACTTCTGAAGCATTAGCATCAAAAGAGCAAAAGTATGAAGTCACTTTATGTATGTCCAATTGTACATCAGCACGACCAACAGAAAATGCAGGAATGTGTTAAGGGAACTATAGCTACAGAGCAATTCTGTGCATCTCACCTATCTATAGAAGAGCACAAGACTGCAAAGGGCATGACCTTTTTCCCAAATAGAAACAAAATTTTAAAAAAATGTAAGAGCTACTCTAATGAGAGCTTAGACGCAGTACTTTACAAACCAGAAAGCCTTAAGAAATCCAAGTATAAAGTAGCCAGTTGCTCATAACTTAAGAAGTTTGAACAATTCTTTTTTTTTTTTTAACCAGAAGGAAGAAGGGGAAAGAATGACTTTTTCTCCTACCTATGATAAACATGTCAATAGCAGCTGGATCCCGAGCCATTTGGTCCTAGGTGAGAAAAAGAATGTAACTGATACATTTCTCATTGTTCGTTACCTGGATTTCTCCCCATAACAAAGCAAAACAGATAAAAATTACTTAAGCGTTCCAATGAACACTCAGGTATTCCTCATACTTTTCAGTTCTTGCTTTTAGGATTCCTAGGTTTAGGCTCTCCCTGTAACATCCTCAGAAGAGCACCAGGCACTTCAGGAAGATAAACACTTATGTAACTGCTACTGCCGTGAGGATAAATGAAGACATTATCCCTCAAAAACACAACTAGGAAGCTGAGGTAGTAACATAGATGGCTTGTTAGAAGGAAGGGCTTTGGGTTGACAGGAGATCCAAACAATTCTAATGTGTTCAAAAGCTAAATTTTTAAAAAGTTAAGAAATATACCTTATAATTAAGTACTTCAATGAGAAGCTCCTCATTAATTTCTCTTAAACGTCAAATCACAGTTCTCCCTCTCTCTGTATATAAAAATTCACATTGTTTATCCAATGATACAGCTTTCTTCTGGCATTCCACAACATTATGTCAGAATATTAGCTTTTCAGTCAGTTGAAAAATATAACATAACACTCTATCCTTGGTTCTACAACCCTGAAAATACTAATGGACACACTTATGTAATCATCAGAATGCACCCTAAAGCCACATTCAAACACACTTCTACTTACTGGACATTGGTAGAAAACCTCATTTTTATTTCGGCCCTCTGCTGCTTCCACGGCTATGTACTGACTCAAACCAGTATGGATACAAAACGTCAAAGGGAGGCAATACTTCAGTCCCTGCCTCTGCTGGAAGCCTCCAGCGGCTGTGTCGACGTCTAACAAATCTTCCGAACGATAGTGATTCGACAGTGCCATACTTCCCAGCAACCTGAGGAGAACACACACTCGAAGATGTATACCACTTTGGTACCAAACCGAAGCTGTGCTGTATCTACTTGACGAATCATTTCACACTGACAACTTTAGAAGTACTGATTAGTGGCTCTAAACTAGAAATATCATAATCTGTATAGTAAATTCAAACTCATCGGAAAGAAGATTGTGATTTAAATTAAAAATTGAATTAAATGTTTAAATAGTCAAAATGTCTATCTTTAAAAAAGAAATATAGTTTTGTTGATTTCAACAATCTGTCTCTAGGTAAGCACAGTGGTGCACACCTATAATCCCAACATAGTTTCGTGGCTAAGGCAAAAAGATTCCAAGTTTGAATCCAGCCTACGCAACTTAGCAGGACCCTGTCTCAAAAATTTGTTTTGTTTTCTGAGACAAGGTCTTGCTATGTAGTTCAGGCTGGCCTTGAACTTGCTAGGTAGCCCAGGCTGGCCTCAAATTCATGGCGATCCTCCTGCTGTAGCCTCCTGAGTGCTGCAATTACAGATGTGAGCTACCACGAATGGCTAAAAAAATTTTAAAGAAGGGATGGAGATGTAGCTCAGCATGAAAAAAAAAAAAAAAGAAGCAGGAATATATCTTGCCATAATATAACTATCTGCCAAGGTTTTGGTATATATATGTAAATGGTAACAATGTTTAAGGGGCTGGGAATTTAGCTCAGCGGCACAGCGCCTGCCCGGCAAGTGTGAGGTCTTGAGTTCAATTCCTGGTACCGGGAAAAAAAAAAACAATGTTTAAAAGGAGTAAATTCTCCGACATCTTTCTCTTGATATAACCTTTAGCTTACCTTGTAATCAGAAAATAAAAATGCAAATCAGTCTAAATCCTGTCCAAATCTGAAATACATGGGATAAATATTAATCTCACTTCATATGTGTAACAGTAATAATAATAATCATCCACATATCAATGACTACCTGGTGGTCCCTATGAGACTTCTATCCTAAGTCTCACTGCTTGGGCTATATACTATGTGTTCAAACTCATGACTTGGTTCTGGGCAATTCTTACAACAAAGTTCTTTCCTGTTTGCTGTTAAAATATGACAAATTTTCAACTTTGCCACATTTCAGTTTGATAAGGAAACAAGAAAAAAAAAATCGCTAGTACAGATTTATCTAGTCCTAACTGACTTCTATTTCTGACTTGTGCCTGATAATTGATTTTTGAAAAAAGTCTTAAAATATCAGTATGAACTTCTGAGATTCCTGAACACACTCAATTCTCATCTGAAATTGCGACCAGAGCTTTCCAGGATTCTTCACATGTAATGGGACACCTGGTTCCTGTAGGGACACTGCAACGTTCTCCCTCCCTCTCACAATATCTAAGTCTCTGAGATCGCTTAATGACTGTGAGTGAAATTGATGGCTATTACACAGTCTGCTTTTACCAAAAAGTTTCACAATGAATTATGTCATCTTTTAGAAGTTTTAAATAGGCATTTGATTACAGGCTACCCTTGACTATGACAAAATTCATGTTGTCTTTAGTGTATGCACCTCTGAGCAAAACAAGCTTCCCTAAACAATTTACCTGGCCTGTAACAGGATAAACATGTCAAGAATTCTACAGAGTTCAGTTAAAATATACTTACATGCATCTCTGCCCATCGTCCCCATACCCTGACCCCAATCCGACTGCACCTTAATTATAAGGACGCTGGCAATGTTTTTATTGAGATAGTTAATTTTGGTAAAATATAATTCAAGCTATACATTTTGTCTCATGGACTGCTACAAGGAGGGATAGGGGATACCTATACTACCCTACTTTGTTAAGGGTAACTACGAAAACATCTATTTACTGTCGTTTTAGGAAATGACATTCATCATTAAAAGTCACCAAAACATGGCACATCTTACCCAGGAACCACTAACTTCTGTCCATTGTGGATGCGGTACGAACACCGATAATCATCGGGAAGCTTGCAGCCGATCTGAGCCTCCACTGCATCTAGGTCTTCCTCCCGTGCACCCTCTGCAAATCACACCAAAGAGGGAATTGTGGAGACACATAAACCTTCAATCAGAAAAGAAAAAGAACCTATCTGCTAACTCCGGAAGCCATCTTAGAGTGAGTGAGCTCTTCTAAAATATACTGCCAAAGAATAGGGGAAATGAAGTGCAACTGAAAACTCATTTGGAGCACTAAGCAAGTAGAAGTCCTTCATTTCAGCACAGAAAACACTGGCCCTAAGCAAAACATGGAAAGAGGACACCAAGGAGATGCACAGTAAGTTTTTACACTGTAACACAAACAGTATATATCTCATTTTTAACCAGCTAATACAGTCAATCCTCCTTTATTTAAAAAGCCAGAAAGTCTCTAAACTGATGTTTCTAGAATTTTAACATACTTTCTCTCCCTCTCTTTTTAATTTGAGAAGAGGTCTTGGCTATGTTGCCCCAGCCAGTCTCAAACTCCTGGGCTCAAGTGATCTTCCTGCCTCAGACTCCCAGTACAGTACTGGGACTACAGCCGGGCACTATAGTCTGTGCCCAGCTTTAATGTGGTCTTTTTATGAAAAAAAAATACAGGACATAAGGTGCAGGTTTCTGCTGTGAGCAGGCCATTGATATGAGTCCTAATTTGCACATTTGTAAACTTCCATATATTTCATCTTTTTTTTTTGGTTTTTCTCCGGTACTGGGAACCGAACTCACGACCTTGCGCTTGCCAAGCAGGCGCTTTGCCGCTGAGCTAAATCCCCAGCCCTATTTCATCTTTAAAAAGCATGAAGAAACTACAAATACAAGAGGAGAGCTCCACCTCCAGTAATGGCCCACAGCTTACTGTTTGAAGACTTATAAAAAACCACACAGTAGCTAGGCTTGGTGGCACATGCCTGTAATCCCAACACTTGGGAGGCTGAGGAGGATCGCTGCAAATTTGAGACCAACCTGGGCTACAAAGTGAGTTCAAGGCCAACCTGAACGGCATAGCCAGGCTGTCTCAAAAAGACCAAAAACAAAAAAAACAAAAAAATACCATACAGGAAAAGAAAAGAGGAGGTTTTTGAAGCAACTGCCAATTCTAAAAACCAACATGAGGCTGAAATGCCAGGAAGTTGAGTGAAGATTTAGGCAGTCCCATAAGGATGGAGGATTAAAAAAAAGTGGGGTGCAGAGTCCATAATGGAGAAACGGACCTTATAAAACCCAGGTCATTTGGCTAGGACCCAGAAGGGCCACCCCAGGAAGAGCGGGTACTGAAAATAGACTACTATAATAGAAAACTAAAGCCCAGCTTCCAATCACACTAGTTCCTAACTGGAATAAGGCAATCTATACACTGACTAGCTGCCAGGCCAAGACAGAGGAAATTGCTAGAAGACAGTAACACTGCCCTCAAACTCAAGTAATGTCTAGCAATCAATCAAAACATAAATAAATAAATAAATTAAAACTAGGCCTACATAAAGACAAAATCTGACTAAAGAGCAAAAGGGGAAAAAACGACTACAAATAAAACTAACTCTACAATATATCCCATTACTGAAGTGAGTAAACATGAACTTTAAAATATCCATAAATACCCATACATTGCTACATTCAATAAGTCAAATGACAAGACAGATAATTTCTGGCATGTGTCAAGAGGCAATTATGAACCTCATGGAGAATAATTATAAAATTATATCTAGACAAATCTCTGGAAAATGCTGAAAATCAAAGAGAAATCTTAACAGCAGCTAGAGGTGGAGAAAGGCATATAATTACTACCTTCAAAGGAAACAAAGTCAAATTAATAGCTGACTTCTCAACAGAAACAAAGAAGTCAGAAGAATGACATCTTCAAAGTGACTGAAAATATCAGTGCTGATTAGAATTCTACATCCAGTAAATATATCCTCCTAACAGTGAAGACGAAATACATACACTTTTTGGGCTAGCGATACAGCTCAGTGGTAGAGCTCCTACCTGGTGTATGTGGGACACTGAATCAATCCCAAGCACCAAAAGTAAGTAAATCAATTAATCAATTAAAAAGAAAGAAATATATTTTTAGACTAAGAAAACCTGAAAAGATTCAGCAGCAACAGTCTCTCCTGGAAGAAATTCTTCAGACAGGAAGACAATGATCCCCAGTAAAAGCATGAAGATGTAGGAGGGAAGAACAACTAGGTAATGATGAAGGGAAATCTAAATCAATATTGAATATCTATGTAATAATAGTGTTTTCAGGGATATAAATATGTTGAAAATTAAAATTGCAAAAAAGTAATACAAAAGAGAAGGGGCTATATAGCTCAGCTGGACAGCACATTTGCCTAATATGCACAAGGCCCTAAGTTTGATCTCCAACACTCTACTCCCCCTGCAAACAAAACCTCAAAACTATAAGGTAGGGCCGGGCATGGTGGTGCACACCTGTAACCCCAGCACTCGGGAGGCTGAGGCAGGAGGATCGTTGTGAGTTCGAGACCAGCCTGGGCTACAAAGTGAGCTCAAGGCCAGCCTGAACTACATAGTGAGCCCCTGTCTCAAAAAGACAAAAAAAGAAAAAAAAAAAAACCAAATCAAAATAAAACAAAAAAAAAACCTATAAGGTAGAAGGGAGGTGACTGGAAATAAGGCATTATAAGTTTCTTTCATCATCAAGAAGTTAAAAAAATATTAATTTACATTAGACCTTATTAAGTCAAAGATATACATTTTAGTATCTATGGTAACCACTAAAAAAGAATTATAAGCACAAGGGAATGAAAAAAACGCAATGAAGAGGAACGCAAAAAAGTAAGAAGAATGCAAAAAAATAGAACAGTGGACATGATCTATTTAAATTCAAATATATACACTAAATATAAGTGGGCTAAATAATCTAGTGAGAAGACAAACTGACATACCAGGTGAAAACAAAGACTAAGGCTCAAGGTCAGTGCTAGCCTAACATGCACAAAGTCACAGGACCCTTTGAAAAAAACAAAACCCAATCAAATAAAAAAACCACACAATTAAAATAAAACACACAATTATAGACAGAAGAAACTTGTATGTAACATAGGTACAGAAAGGAAAGCTAGAACAGTTCTACTAAAAATCACAAGGAACAGACTTTAAGGGAAACAGCTTTATTTTTTTTTTTGCTTTTTTTTTTGTTTTTTTTTGAGACAGGGTCTCGCTATGCAGTTCAGACTGGCCTTGAGCTCACTTTGTAGCAGAGGCTGGCCTCAGACTCGAAATGATCCTCCTGCCTCAGCCTCCTGAGTGCTGGGATTACAGGCGTGTGCCACCACGCCCGGCTAAGGGAAACAGCTTTAGTAGAGCTAACAGAAGGCTTCTCATTATGACAAAAAGATTAAACTTACTACAAAGATATTATAATTCTAATTTTATGCATGTAATACTGCAGCTTTAAAATATATTTTTAAACGAACTGAAATGCAATTTCTTTTATCTTTTTGAGACAGGATCTCACTATGTAGTGCAGGCTGCCCTTGAACTCACTTTGTAGCCCAGGCTGGCCTTGAACTCACAGTGATCCTCCTGCCTCAGCCTCCCGAATGCAGGGATTACAGGCATGTGCTACCATGCCTGGCTGAAATGGAAAATTTTTATCTACAAGCATATTTTTCCATTGCTGTAATGTTAGCAGCTTAACATAACACTCATTGCCTGGGAATGTAGCTCTGGGGTAAAGCATTAGCCTGCCACATGTAAGGCCCTGAATTTAATCCCTACAGCCACAAAACAAACAACCAAACCAACAACACTCGCTCATTTATTTTTCAAGTAAATGTGAGGCTGACACAGCCCGGGCAAGGCTCCTTTTTGAAATGCCTCTCCCACACAGGACAGTTGGCCTCTATTCTCTAGGCTCAGTTGAGGGGAGGTGAAGGGAGCTGAGTCCACCTCCCAGGAAAACAGAGCCAGGAGTTTCACATATTATTTCAGTTTGTGTAGGTCAGAAGTCCAGGCATGACTCAACTGGACCTACTATTCAGGTCTTACAAGGCTCAAGTCTCACTCTATTCATCTTTGTTTGGGATCCTCTTCCAACTTCACTGATTATTGGTAGAATTCAACTCTTTGCAGCGGCAGGATGGAGGTCCTCTGCTCCTATAAGCCACCTGTCATTCCCTATGATGTGGCCTTCTCCATAACATGCCAGTTTGCTTATTCAAAGTCAACACAGAGAGAGACGCTTTGAATCTTGCTGGTTTCTGGGAGGCCCAGTCCCCTTTAAGGACTCATTTGACTGAGGCAGTCTCACCCAAGATAATTTCTCTTTTGATTAACAAAGACCTCAAATTCAACATATTTAGGACTTTAACTACGTCTGCAAAAATCCCTCCACCTTTTTCATATTATGTAGCCTAATCACAGTACAGCAGTGAAATCAATTCTATTCACAGTTCCGCCTACACTCAAAGAGAGATGATTGTACTTAGGTATGTACACCAGGGGTTGGGAATCTTGGGAGCTACCTCAGGTCTCTGCCTCCACTGGGAGATTTTAGCATACTTCTCTCAGTGACTAATAGAAACGAGCAGAAAAGAAGAAAATGGGGCAGACGATTTAAACAAGATTAACAAATCTTACTTAATAATATCTATAGTACTAAAGGAAACAACTGCAAAAGCTACATTCTTTTCAACTGAACATGAAACAATTACCCAAATAAACAAAACAGATTATACATGGACCACAGCACAAATTACATCCAATTTTAAATGAGAGAACTCATATAGAATATATTCTCTAATCACAGTGAAATTAAAATATATTTTTATTTTTTATTTTTCTTTAAAAATATATTTTAAAAGATTACTAAAAAAGCTCTGAATGTTTGGAAATTAAGCAATACATTTCTATATAATCTATGGGTTTTTAAACCAGACAATAAAGGTAATGAAAATATAATGTATTGAACTCTGGGATAAAAGAATACGTTTAGAAGGAAATTTATAGCACTAAATGCATCAGAAAAAAAGAAAGCTTGAAAATCTATGGCCTAAGCAATCATCTCAAGTCAGGGGAAAAAAAAGTCACAATAAAACTCAATCAAAAAACAAATTAATGAAATAAAAAATAAATAAATAAGAGAAGGACCAAGATGCCAGTCTTACTTAACAAGACTTACCAAGAAAGTACAAAAAATTTATATTAGAAATGGAAGAAGTGATATCACAGATTCAGTAAGCATGAAATAGATATATATTGTCTTTTTAATATTATAAAATATTTTACTTATGACAGTTAATTTGACTATTTAGATGAAGGGGATAATTTCCTACATAAACATAATTTATCAAAATTGACATAAGAATAAATAGAAAGCCTGAACAGCCCTATATCTAATAAAGCAATTAAATTCTTAATTGAAAACCTTCCCACAATAAAAACTCCAGTGTTGTATGGCTTGCTGGTAAAGCCTCTGGGTTCAATTCTTAGCATGAAAAAATATTTTTAAAAAGAAATCACAATAGATACTCTCAAGCAATCTCAGCATTACTATTTTCTTCATATAAAACAAGTGTAAGGACAAAAAGAGTTCAGCTTTCTCTCCAAATAAACCACCATGTGAGTTCCAAGGTTGAGCAAAAACAAGGCAAGCTCCAGAGCAAAGGTACTTCTACTCTGTTGGTGCTCCACTTCCTTGGAAACTGTGACTGGTGGATTACAGACAAGCTTGCATCACAGTACAATTGCACAAATGACAAAAATTCCAAGTTATTTAATTTACTCATACTAATAGTAACCAAAATGGGGGAAGGGGACCCTGCATTCCCAGTACCTTTCAGAGATAAAACCATCCGAGGACACCTGGGCTCCAAATATTTCTTGAGATCATCCCAGGCCTTTTTAATAGCAGCGTAATGGTCAATGTATCTTCCTACGTCAGAGTAAGTATCTATGAAGAGAGATTTCCAACACTGATTCTTCTGTGTTTTCTCTTCCCTAAATAGATTTTAAAAATGAGGTTAAAAATCTTTTGAAAGGATATTAGCATATATTTTCAACACGAACACATTTTATTATTTTAGCTACAAAGGGAGATTATATAGCAAAAAGGGATACAGACTTCAAAAATTTTAACAGGAGCTACTGTTGGCATGGTGGGATTATGAGTCACTTATTTTCTTACTTTCTACTTAAACTTTTTCTAATAATTAATAAAATATAGTATGAATACCATATGAATAGAATTTCAACTTACTCCTAACAATATATCAACTGTAAAAATTTTAAAGGTATATAGTTGTTCCATTTTAGAGAATACTTAGAATCTAGTGATATCCTATTAAGCTAGCACATCTGCATTGTATTAGAGAACCATAAAGCAGCAAAATAATTATATGATTCAGCATTGTTATTTGGTATAATTCTGCAAACATTTATTGAGTGTGCACTTAGTTGCCACTGAAGACACAAAAAATAAGGCAGAATTTTTAAAAAATAACTTCAAAAGGTATAGTCTTACTAAGGAGAAAGAATGAAGTGTAAATTTAAGATTCAGAAGTGATGGAGAATAAAGCAGACATAGAAATCCTGAAGATAACATACCAATTTGCTCAACTTTCTTGTGTAGGAAATGGGAGCTACGGAAGTTTTAACTGTAAAGTTAAAAGAACTGTGGTTTGGGGCCGAGGATATAGCACAGGGGCACAAGCAAGCACCTGCCTGCCAAGTGCAAGGTCCTGAGCCCAATTCCCAGTACAAAAAAAAAGGGAACTGTGGTTTGGGAGGGGTAGATTTAAGGGGTGGGAACTAGAGGCACAGGGGAACTGGGAAGACCTGCAGTAGTACTGGTTAAGAGATGAGGAAGTAACCTAAAGCTGTAGAAGCCAAATGAAATGAACAGGAAGCCTTAAGAAACATACAAAAGCTAAAATTAGGAAGGGTTGGCAATTAAATCAAGGTAGAGAAAGAGAGAGGAGATCTAAGATGATTCCTCATTCTGGATTGGATGCCTGGACGGACGGTGCTCCCATGAAGAACAAGGACACAAAGGGTATGCTTTAGGGATGAGGAAAGCTCAAATCAAGGTAGGGTTTTCAGGAGGGGAGCATCTTTTTATTAATCTAAACAATATATACATATACTAGCAAAACTAAAACCTACCAAAGAACTGGGGTAGTGGTACAGCTCAGTGGTATAGCACTTGGCTAGCAGGCATGAAGCCCTCATGCCTTAAAAAATAAAAATGTAATATGTACCAAAGAACCTGTGATAAAAAACTAGTTCTAAACCCAACCTCTCAAAAGGAGTTTAAATTATTTAAGAATTTAGTATCTCTATGATTCTAAATGTTTAAATCTCTGATTCTTGATTTATCAATTTTATACATAACTGCTGATACTCCAAAGTGCAAGATGAGGACACAGCAATATTTAAAATTAAAATCCAAATTAACTAACATTCCCTCTTCTCCATTTTCCTCCTCCCAATGTTAATAGCTTTGTCATTAATTCTTACTTTGGCAGAATTAAACCTTCCAGCTTTAAATAATACACTTAAACCTCTACTGCTTGCTTTTTTTTTATACCAGGAATCAAACTCAGGACCTTACGCTTGCCATATACTTCTTGCTTTACCCATCTTACTCACTCTACCTGCCTCCCCTCAATCTAAGAAAAGACAGTAGTACCCCTACCTTTCCTTTCACCTTTCCCAACTCTCGCTGTCTTGTCATCTATATTTTTATTCTGTCAAATTGTTGCTATCTACCGAACCCAGTTATGCCATGCATGACAGTCAAGGGAAAGGTGCAGCAGACAGTGCTGCCAATGATCCCAGAGCCAAGCAAGGACATCACAGGCAGAGACTCAGGCCGGCGAGGTAGAAGAACTCAGATAGTCACTAGGAACTGCAGCAATGCATAATGCAAAGTCACAGAGAGAGAACAGTGGGTCAAGCACAAAACCTTGAAGAACACCAAGATTCCCTAGCAGGCCCAACAGCCATCAAAGGAGACAAAGGTTAGAGAAAAGAGTCACGACAGACTAGTGTTATAGCAGCCAAGGGTCATGTTTCAAGAATATATACACCCGGCCAGGGAGATAGCTCAGCGGCACAGCACCTGCCTGACAAGTGCAAGGTCCTGAGTTCAATTCCCAGTACCCCCGCAAAGAAGAATATATATTCCACACCAGAGAATGGGAAGGGGAAGAAGGGAGACGGAGACTAAGTGACAAGTACTAAAACACTGTACAGTTAAACAGGAGGAATGAGTTCTGCTGTTCCACAGCACAGTTCAGTGAGTAAAGTTTATAATAATTCATTCTGTATTTTATAAAGAACTAAAAGAGAGGAGTTCAAAGATTCCAACACAACCAAATGACCAAGTGTTTAAGGAGATGGAAATGCTAATTAACCTGATTTGATCATTATAATTGTACACATTATTGAATTATCACACTGTACCGCATAAATATGTTCAGGTATTATGTATCAATTAAAAATATATATAAAGTTAAAAATTTACTCTAAAAAATTAATCTTTCCCATAGACACACAAAAGAATACACAGTCCCCGAACACTTACTCGGAGATCAGCCAGTATTTTTTGCAGTGTCTTCTCCACAGTGGATCATGACTTGATAGTTGGCTAAGTCTTCGACTCACATAGCAACAACTAGCAGCAACGCAAGTCACAGGAGTAAAAGAAAATGCAAAATATTAAAAATAAAGATTAAAACAGTCATTGCTAAATTTTGTTGTATTCCTTTCATTTTTCTAATTTTCCAATCCAAACAGCATTTTCTAGGCACAGGTGGAAGGCTGAGGCAGGAGGATATCAAGTTCTAGGCAACTTAGCAAGTTTAAGCCAGCCTGGACTAAATAACTAGACCCCATCTCAAAAACAAAAACAGTACTTTCTAAGATAGCATTTTGTTTAACATGTTAAGCTAGTATAACTACCACATGAGTAATAAAATCTTTTCATTCACAAATCCTGAAACTTCTATAATTGTAATTTTTATAAGAAAGTCTATAAAATACATGTACCATCAGAGTTAACCTCAAATCAAAGTTTTCTTACATTATTATTATCAGAGTAATACTCTCTATGTATAAAAAATGTTATTTATAGGTGTAAGCAAAGTTGTTATCAGGTCTTTTTTTGTGATTTATAATGCATGCTACAAATGCATAGGTCCTTTGTTTTGTTGTAATTTTTTAAAAGGAAAAATATTGCAGCCACCAACACTTTATTAAAGCAACTACTGGAAAATCCACTTAAAAGACATCTGACTCATAATAGTTCTGATTCAATGTTCATGACTATACAAGTTAGCAGTTGCCTCAAAACATGGAATGTTAAAAGCAAGTACTTTTCCTACTATATCAAGACTTTTAATACAATAGTGCGCCAATCCTATAAATGTTACCCTACATAATTCATTTGCAAAAAGAATGAACCTGGATTTCTATCCTTTCAGAAGAAAAATCACAGCTCACAGAAAGTAGGTATTCACTTGGGCAACAGCTAATTAATAAATTTTAAATCACATGGAGTTTTTAAGGCCATAAGTAGGGTGTATTAAAAACTCACCTATGATAAATTATTAGCCTTTGTTTTTTGGGTTTTTCTTTTTTTTTGGTTTTTTTCCAGCACCGGGAATCAAACTCACAACCTCGCGCTTTGCCAGGCAGGCGCTGTGCCGCTGAGGTAAATCTCCAGCCCCCAAATTATTAGCCTTTGATTTACAGGTTTTACAGAAACACCATCCGCATCCTTTTCTGCCATGCACAGAAAACACTCAAACTAACTTTTATAAACACAAGAACCCCTCCAGTTTTATAAATTCAGGCTCTTCTTTTCTTGATTCTTCTCCCTCCACTGCCCCAGCAGCTATAATAAGCACCAAAGGCGATTTTGATGCACATCAAGTTTGAAAACTACCATTCTACATAGAGACTCTGATTCAGACTGCTTGGAGTGAGAGCTGTAACTCAGGTACAGTTATGCTTAAAAGGCGTTGTTAATTTTGATGCACAGTGAAGGTGGAGAACGGCATATGACGCATCACTGGAATAGAGAAAGCATCACACAATCTCAAACTACACAACTGATTCTAAGACAAGATCCCCAGGGACTAACCCAATCCAACCCAGTAGGTGAGCAAATATGTACCAAAACAGCCCGGACTTGGCAATGGGCCGCACACTTGGCAGAGCTGGGTTGTATGGTGCAGGAAAGAAGTTCCAGTACGCTGGACACATCTGGGTAGCATCAGTGGTATTCACCTCAACTGAATTCCACAGACAGTAAAGGAGGGGTCATACTTCTTCATTTCACAGTTTGATTACCACTTACGACATAATATAAAATCTGTTCTAACCTTGGCTCACAGGCCCTACATGATCTCACCAGTTTCATCTCAAACCAGTCTGCCTGTGAGTCACCCTCTACTTCCAGCAACACCTGCCTTCTAGCTCCTCCAATAGGCCGTGCTGTTGGACAGTGCCATCAGCCTCTGAGTACACTGTTCCCTCTGCCAGAACTACACTGTTGCTGATATGGCCGCTCTTTCCACTGCAAATTGGTCATCTCTTTCTCCCCGTTCCTTAACAGAGCAGTCTATTTTCTTCACGGTACTTAGCACCTCATGTAATTACAGACTCATCCATCTTTCCATCTTGCCTACTAGTCTGTAAGCTGCACGAGAGGGGACCTCATCTATTTTGTTCACTACTGTGTTCCTTAACATGTAATGGGCTGGCACATAGCAGGTACTCAAAAAAATCTGTAGAATAAATGATGATTACCAAGGTAAACAAGACAGCTCTTATACTTAAGAAGCTCACAATCTATCTGAGATGCCAAATTTTGCACAGAAAGGAGTAAGGTAGAGAAGGTGAACTCGAATTTCAACTTGCCAGGTTGAGAAGAGGGGAAGAAGGTATTCCAGGCAAAGCCAAGAGCTTAAGCCACAAAACAAAAAAGTGCAAGTGCATGGCATGTTAGCACATGTCTAATTTGACTACAGTCGACTGTGCAGTTATGACAGTGGAAGAGAAATAAGGTCTGAAAAGCTTTATATCTTGAGCCACACGATAAAATATCTAGAAGTTCAGGTTAGAATCTCTAAACAAGGAATATCAGAAGTTTTTAAGAAGGACAGCCAAATCTGCTCGGTGAAGATCACTGCGGCAGCAATCAAAACTGGTGAGATGGGGTGAAAACAATTTGGGCCAGGATAAGCTTTTGTAAAGAAAAATTTCACTTTTCGGCATTGGTACAGCCTGAGCAGGGAAAAACATTTATTTTTTAGAAAAATAAAAAAGTGTTAGCAGGTACTAGCATAGGCAGCAGCAAGTAACCTGAGGTATCCCACTTAGCTAGGCCAACCAAGAGCTACCCGTAACTCCAAGAAATATGTATTCCCAAAAGAACCCTTAATAACACAGGGCACAATGGCTAGACTCCAAAGGTTAATCACACACCCAAAAAAGAAGCCAGTCTCACCTATCTGTTCCGAGAGGACATCCTCCGCAAACATACATGGTAGCATAAGAAACTCAGGGCCATGCTGTCAAGAATACAAAAAAAATCTGACACCCGGGTGTGGGGAAGGGGAGTGGGTAGCACCGTTTCTTCCACCAGCCCGAACAGTCCCAATCTCTGAAAGAATTGGACACTTAACCACCCTTACCAGCAACCGATGTTTATCTTTGATAGACGGTCACCGGTATCGCACCACCGGAAGTCAGTACCAAAACACAAAATCCACCATCCAATCGTAAGGAGGAAAGGCTGAGAGCAAAGCAGTTCTCAAACACAGAAGTCGCAAAGTGAGCCCTGCCAGCGTTCACAGTGTCGGTGTCACACTGGGGTGTCAGGGTGGCCTGCCGCCTTCCCCGCGCGCTCTGTGTGTTCACGCCGCCGCCGGACCCCGCAGGCCCCAGCCCGACAAGGAGGAGCACGGGCACCGGCAGGGCTTATCTACGGCGTCCAGTGCTGAGACAGACCGGGTGGGGCCCTTAGGAGCCGGGGGCGCGACAGGGCAGCATGCGGGGCGCCACCCTCGTCCCGGGCAACTGGGCCGGGCTGCGGCCTGGGAGAGAGGGCTCTCGCTCCCGGGTCCCGGGCGCTGGACGTGAGAAAGACCTCAGGGCGGGGTCCTTCCGCCCTGGCCCCTCAGCCCCCAGGTGGCTCTGCAGGATAAGGGCGACCCAGGCGTCACCTTCTGGAGACGCGGGATCCGGAGTCCACCGGCCTCCAGGTCTCCTTCCCCAGTGCCTCAGTGCCTCCTCCCGCGTGCTCCCACCCCTGCCACGCGCGCCGTGCATTACTTGATTAGGTCCCGGTAGTCCAGAAAGGATAAAATGAGGAGCAAAGGGTCGGTAGGCAGCGACTCCAGGGTCATCAGCGTCAACTCGGCCTCCATGGCCGCCATCTTGCCTGGCGCGGTGCAGCCTGGCCCCGCCTCGGCCCCGCCCCCGCCGCCGCGCCCCGGCCGCTCCCCAGCCGCGCGCTCAGGTTTGTTATGTAACCGACCTCCGGCCCCGCCCCCAGGGAGGGCGGAGGGGCGGAGCCCGCGAGGCTCCGCCTCCGCCGCTGCTCCTTTCTGCAGAGACAGGAATAGCTGTCAGTCAGTCGCACAGCCCCAGCCTGCCCCTCGTGTTCCTTCGCTCGGACCTCAGGCTCTTTCAGACTTTGTTCCCGAGTCTTTTGCCTCGCCCCTTCCCAGCAAGTCCTCAAGCACAGTTTTACACCCGATAGCCTCAAATCCTCGTTTCAAACTCCATACTAATTCCTCTCGGCCCTTAACCCCCAAATCCTCCGTTTCTCTTCTTTTTTCTAATCCATTCTCATTCCTCCCCTAGAGTTCCGGCTCCGCGTGTCCCAGGTAGGCAGCAGGGCTGCTCTGAGCCTTTCATGCAGAAGGGGCCAGCCCGGGAATCTGCCAGAGGCGTGGGGAAAGGCTGTGCTCATCAACTGGGAAATAATCCTAGAGGACACTATTTTACCACCACTGCCCCAAGCAAAACATATACCTGCGCTGAGTCTGAGTGTCAGCTGTACTCACTCAGTTTCGTTGTCTTGGCTGTTTTAGTCTGTTAGAGCAATGCGAAGTGTATACTAAGTGGGTTTATTTGTGTGTTTGTTTGTGGCTAAGGATTAGATCCTGGAGAGTTAAGTACCCAAGAGTGAAGGGATGAACTGAGACCCCTGGAGAGCAACATGACTGAGGCGTGAATGATACTGGAAGAATATCTCCCAAAATTTTATCCCCCCCCCTTTTTTTTTGTACCAGGAATCGAAATCAGGACCTTGTGTCTGCCAGGCAGGCGCTTGTGCCACTGAACTATATCTTCGGCCCATTCTCAACGTTTTAGGTGTACCGAGGTCATTCATGGTCTCACAAAATCGAGGAATGAAGTCAAGAACTAAAGGAGGAGATGATTGGAAATAAGGATAGCTCCTGGATGTCCAGGGGAAGTCCAGCATGGGTAGCCACCTGACTTCTCAATCCCAAGATACTTATGGATAAGCAGAACACAGGAACTGCTCAATTGTTTAGTGCCCACATATCACAGGTAGCTCTGGATTTAAAGTGCTCAATTGGAACGCAGGCTCTCTAACTCGATTCTTCAACTTGTAGGGTTTAAAGGAAATGGATTGGGGGAGGGGCTGGCTATTTTGCATTTTAAATTCCTCAGAGCTCAGAAGCTTAATAGGGAGTAGCTACCCATCCCTTTAGTAGGAAGTGGGCTGTGTTCCATGCTGCCTGGGAAAGTTCAATGCCTTTGAATTCCTCAAAACTCAAGAGTTTATTAAGGAGTAGCTGCAACTTTCTTTAGTACAGAGTGGGCTGTATCTCATACTGCCTAAGGAAGTTCATCTTTTGTCCAAAATCTTAGTTCAGGGCTGGGGATTTAGCTCAGCGGCAAAGCGCCTGCCTGGCAAGCCCAAGATGGTGTGTTTGATTCCCAGTACCGGAAAGAAAACTAAAACAAAAACAAAAAACCCCCACAAAATCTTAGTTCTCTGCCTATTATTAATTTTCATCAGTATGGCTGGTCATACCAATTGTAGCTTGGGCTCTTGTGCTAGCTAGCTGCCTTATTCATAAGCTAGCGGAATAAACTATTTTCTACACGAAGATGTGGAAAACTATCAGCTTTTCCAAGATGGCATTAAAAAATGGATGAGATGCATGACAAATCATGAGCCAACATATCATGTGTCTGATTTCTTCTTTTCTGTCACGTTTCCAGGGACAGTATGGTATAGGGGCATTGGGAAGTCTGGACTGACCTAGGTTTTGCAGACATGTCACTTCATTTACCAGTAGTGAGACACTGGATACGCTAACCATACCTCAACACTATGAGCCTGTTCCTCATCTCTAAAACCTCATCTCCCACTGTGGATTAAAGTTGTTAATGTACAGTGCCTGATTAGCTACCCAATAACTATTTCTAAAGCTATACATATATTAGTCCAAATTTTTCCACATCCTGGAAAAAGTTTCTCCAACTATTTGGTAAATGAAAATGATCTCCCCCATGCCCCCAATAGTCCATTTGCTCAATTCACCATCCAATTAATGCTTTCTATTTATGATTTTGATTAATATTTATAACCCCTACCTCTGCCCAGCAAATCAGTGAGATAACCTCTGCCCACATCGCTGTACTTATAAATTATTTATGCATGTATTTGAGAGTGTTTATTGAATTGGATTCAAGTTAGTTATCCCCTCTTTGTCTTTCCAAACTGTAAACTCTCACTCTTACTCATCCTTGTAACCTCAAGGAATAGTATTGACATAGGAGATTAGGGTGTGGCAAACCAACTGGGAAAGTAGGTGTGACCTGTTAATTACAAGATCTCAGAACATATGTGCAGGACAGTTTCCAAAGCCCTGCACACGAACTGCTTTCAAGAACTCGGGCAACTTTTTGATAGGATGGCCTAGATCTGATGTCAGCCTGAGGTGTGGGATCCCAGCACCGCTTCTCAGAACCCATATGGAGAAGTACTCGTAGGTTTCTTTGAAACTTGGACACAGACTCCAAGAAGAAATGGTTATCATGGATTTTCTCATGTTATCCTGCTCTGCTTCTTCCAGGGTGTACATTTATCTTGTGTTTTCCTCTTTTACTTGACCCAAGGTCACTCTGCAGAGCCAGTTTCTCTCTCTTCACTTTTACTTTTTCAACTAAACTTTGCCACAGTTTTTCACTTGTTTCATTCAATTATTTGTTCAAGATGAGCAGAACCTGGCATCTAACTCCAGAAGGAGAGGCAAGCAACCAGAACCCTGTAACATTTAGTGTTTGGCAAGCCACTTTTAGCAAGAGCACCCCAATAAGAGTATGGCATTCAATAAGTGCAAAGTTTAAATTCAGGGTGACTGAAGACAAAACAGTCATTTCTGTTTTCAAGGAAACTATGCCTGCATATGCAGGTAAATGCTTAAAAAGGCATTTCATCCTAATTTTTGCTTGTCTTTATTTCCCTCTCAGATGGGCTACTTGTTTTAAATCCAAAAGCTGGTAGGGGTCTTGAGCATGCTACATTTGCTTCTACCACTTGGGCTTCCTTGGCTCTAAGTTATGGCTTAATGCAAGAGACCAAAAGCACAAAATTACCCTACTGTCAGGACCAGGACAAAGATGAAGTAGAGAATTGCTTGCTTGGGCCACAGAGTTTAAGAGGGGTGCCAAAAAAAACCTTAGAAAGTGGGGCTCAGGACGCTCCAGTAGTGCAATTGGTTAGTGTGTGGTACTTACAGAGAAAGTGGGGCTCAGTAGGTAGTTCAGTGGTACAGTGAGTGCTCATCTAGCATTTATAAGACCCTAAGTTCTGGGGCTGGGGATTTAGCTCAACGGCACAGCACCTGCTTGGCAAGCACGAGGTTGTGAGTTCGATTCCCAGTACCGGAAGAAAACGATCAAAAGGTGGCTGCCTTTGTTGTGGCCTCAAAAAAAAAAAAAAAAAAAAAAAAAGACCCTAAGTTCAATTCCAGCATGATAAAACAACAGGAAACAAAAAACCATGAAATCAAGAGAAATAATAATTTAATACAATAATTTTAGAAATCAAAGCTAAGCCAAAAATTCCATGATGAACAAAATACCAAAATCTGAAGTAAAAATAAGATCACATAGCACTATCCAAGCCATATTGAAGCCTAAAGCAAAAGGAAAAGAAATGTGAACCCCTGAATACATGTTTTTATTCATTTTTATGTGGGTTAGGCCCACTCCAAAAGGCCAAAGGGGTTGCTCAGGTGGAGCTCTTGCTTCTTTGTGTGCCTGGGCTCGGTGAGCTTTCAGTTCCTCTTCCTCAGGCTGCTGGCCGCTGCCATTTCTCTCTGTAAGGCAGCCCCTACTGCCTTGGAAGGGGTTGAGTTTTCTCCCCACCACTGTATAAGACAGGTGGAGGAGGTTGAGGGGAAATCCAGGTGGGTGGGATCCAGGAGAGTCCTTCCTTTCCTGGGCAGTGGCTTTCTAGCCTCCCCTATAGTAATGGCTAAACAAACAGGTGGAAGAGAGGCCCAGGATTTGGTTATTTGGTTCTTCTGCCAGTGGTGGTGAACTTATGGCAAACATGCTACAGTGGGCTGTTTGTTTCATTGAGAGCTCTAAAGAGGTTTGCCATCACTTCGAGGCTAAGGGGGAGACTCAGGGCTCCAGAGCCTGTGGACCTGGGTGGAAAAGCTCGCCCTTCAAGTTTGCTAATTGTTTAGGAAGCTGATATCTAAGGGATACAGAAGAATGTCACTAAAATAGTAATTGCTTGTCACTGTAATTCATATGGCAGGTCAGAAAGCACAAGCTTTTGAAAGAAGAGTTCACATATGGAATTAATTAATTAATTTAATGCTGGGGATTGAACCCAGGGCTTTCACACTGAGTTACTTCCCCAGCTCTTTAATTTTTTTTTTTTTAATTTGAGACTGGGGCTCACTAAGTCCCTAAGTCTCCTAGGTTGGGCTCAAATGTACAGTCCTCCTGCCTCAACCTCACAGAATGCTGAAATTACTGGCGTGCAAGACCATGCCTGACCTGGAATTATTTTTAAGTTTCTCCTTTTCACAGGAGCTGAATAGACAGTGTTTGAGGAATAAATATACATGAATGATCCTTTTAGGACCTTAATGTTACCTTGTCTATGATGAATGGCAGACAACACCCTGCTTCTTGGTAGTATCATGTCTTCACTGGCTTTGAGGTTTCCCCAGGCCATTCAGATAAATCCTTCAGGCATCAACTCATATCTTATCACGTGGAAGCACCTGGCTCTCAGGTCAGTGAGGGACAGGGAGGTACACAGTGCTGCGTGGCTCTTTAGGAGACAGGCACACTCCCTGGCAGTTCAACTGGGGACAGACAAATCCAAACGACCCTGGATATTTATTTTTCTCTCTCATTTTCCTGGCTGAGGAACGGGCTGCCTTACCAGATATGATTTAGCTTGGATGCAGGGCAGGC